CAACGAAAATTTTTATTGGCTATTTCAATCCTACTTGACAACCTAACTATGAAAATATTATCATTTCCTTCTCGAACATTTTACTCTAGGAGTAAAATGCATGCAAACTTTGTGTGTCGCCGCCATCTTGGAAAAAATGACCTTCGAAGGTCAACGAATTTTGTGACGTCATTAGATGGGTAGCACCAAAACTACAAGTGAGAATTCTATTGCGTGCGTGTCGTGTTAGCCAAAAATATGTCGTTTTGAGCGTTATACTGGCCAATACTTTTCGCAGTCAAACAAGAGAAGCCTACACTATCAGATAAAAACATATCGAGCGACTGGGAAAGCAAGGAATGGCGCAATTTACAATACAGGTAATTGATCATAAAATATTGCATTAGTGTTTGCCTTGTTTACACTCGAATTACTGCGTTTATTTAACACGGACTAGGACTGATATACTATCAGAAATAGTGTTACAAATAAGGAACATACTTGGTAAAACGTTTCTGCCCTTCGTTTAGGCTCAAAGTGCACTACGCGTGGTAATACTCGGTATTGTTTTATAATCATGAAATTGTGTTTACCCATCTAATGACGTCAGATAATGTATGCTGTGGCACAAGTGTTTATTTTCAAAATGGCGGACTACTGTTGAACTTTTTATTACATTTTCTCAACAACTAAATGCGACAAACCGGCCAAAATATAAAATTAAGTATTCCGTAAGCATACCTAATAGATATAAGCAATAAAAATTTTGGTTGCCAATGTCCTTTAATATATTACTTTCCATTCACGCAGCTAGATATTTTGGAAGAATTCTGATGCAAGGTATTCCCGAACAATTTTCATGGTGCTGATGATTTCGCTGATATGCTAAAACTCTTTTCAGTTGCAATTTTGTGATATTCCCGATGCCGCGCTAAATTGAGTCATTATAGTAAGTGTATTTTAGGATATTTATATCTCATTAAATAATTGCTTGTGACATTTGCAGTCTTGCATATCTATCTATTTTTGTATGATTGTCTATTAGGGTTCCATGCATTTTGATCTATTCCTATACCTACTGCATCTGCTTTACTTTTATTCGTTTCTATCTTAGTCGGTTTTCTGTTGATACGATACTCGATAATATTTATTATTGCAGGTGGCATTTCTCTAAATATATAGCACCCCTGCAGTGTGCGGAGTATATTACGCTGTAATATCGAGTTTTCACTGTATCTTCCCTCACTTCTTGTAGGCGTCAATGGGAGAATGGGTCGCAAAACGGCAACATTTATATATATATATATATATATATATATATATATATATATATATATATATATATATATATATATATATATATATATATATATATATATATATATATATATATAAAATATATATATATATATATATATATATATATATATATATATATATATATATATATATATATATATATATATATATATATATATATATAAACAGGGTGTAAAAAACTGAACAGATATGAATTTGCTCTCAATTTTGGAAAACAGCTATTAGTATCCAGTTTTTTATGTATATAGCTTCCTTGGGTACTTATAATGTAGAATAATGAAAAATATTTCTCAAACTCAAATTTTGTGAACCACGGGGGGTGGGGAGGGGTGTTTTCCAACAACCTAAAAATGGCTTGCGCACGAAATTTAAAAGCAGTAATCATCTTTTGAGTTAATAGATGGAAAATTTGTTGGGTTCTTAATTACTGTACAAAATTTCAGACAATTTGCTTTAGTTTAAATCCTTTAACTATTCATTTTTCCCTAAAAAATCAGCCTTTCGCATGCTTAATTGATGCCTTTACTTAATTTGCATATTGCTGACATATGCAAATTAGGCAAAGGCATTAATTAAGCATCTTTGCAGGCATAGTGAAAGAGCTTAAACTAAAGCAAATTATCAAATTTTGTGAACCAGGGGAGTGTGTTTTTTCCAACAAACTAAAAATGGATCGCGCACAAAATTTAAAACTTGTAATCATATTTTGAGTTAATAGATGGAAAATATGTTGGGTTTTTAATTACTGTACAAAATTTCAGACAATTTGGTTTAGTTTAAGTCCTTTAACTATTCATTTTATTCCAAAAAATCAGCCTTTCGCATGCCTAATTAATGCCTTTACCTAATTTGCATATTGCTGACATATGCAAATTAGGCAAAGGCATTAATTAAGCATGCAAATAGCTGATTTTTAGGAAAAATGTAAGTTTGCGTGAATAGTTAGAGGGCTTAAATTAAACGAAATTGTCTGAAATTTTGTACAGTAATTAAAAACCCGACAAATGTTCCTCATATAACTCAAAATCCCGACATATTAACTCGAAATATGATTACAACTTTTAAATTTTGTGCGCGAGCCTATTTTTAGTTTGTTGGAAAAGGCACACCCCCTGGTTCACAAAATTTGAGTTCGAGAACACAAATAGGTGTTTTAGGTAACACAAATAGGTGTTTTGAGAAATTGAGAGCAATTTCAAATCTGTTCAGTTTTCTTTATACATCCTGTAGTTCAACAGCAATTTATAGTTCGGAGGTTTATGGTAATTAGATGTTACTAAAATAAAACCGAAAGAAAACTATTAACTGAAGTGTACTGCATGTATATGAATGTCTTGTTCATGGAATAACAGCAAATCTGAAATGAATTAACTCAAATACTCAGAGTCCACCATCATCAACCCTAGAAAAAAGTTGACATTTCTGAACGTCAAGTGAATTAGAACATCCTAGTTCATTCCACAACGCATGTAAAATGTACTTTCAATGAGGTTCTTGAACTAATTTTAAATCATGGCTAAGCTCAGTAACAACATTATTGACGTCCGAACCTCTTAGTCAGTAATCACCATGTTAAACCTAGAGATCAGCATACTCTTCAACTGATTTGTTAATTGAACTTTGCCGCTTGACATCGTTAATGTGGAATTGGCGTAAGATTTTGTACAAATGTCATTCATATGGTAGTGCCTAACACCCGACGTAATCTTGTAGCATCCTTCATTTTGGTTCCACAAGTAGTAAGCCTCGTGTCTTCCAAGACAGTACAAGGAATCTTCTTGACTTTCAAAACCTGGTAGCGATTTAAAATATGCTTACCACAACCAGAACACTTTCGGATTCCACCAGCGATTCTCTTTGCAACAAGTGGTGACGAGGTAGCAGGATCAGATGGTTTTAATTTCTTGAAATGACTAAGTTAGTCGGATTTATATTTCTGACCGAAAAATTTGTCGATGATTCGTTGTTGGCCGTAGAACGTCTGGATGGAGGAAGCGTTTCGACGGCAAGTGGTTCAAGTCGCCGTTTCCTAGATGGACGAGAAGGCTTTTTCGAGCCGACACTCTTTGGAGCTGAAGTTGCTGCCACATTATTCAGGTTCCTTCCAGGAAAATTCTTTAAGAGGCCAGGCATCCTTTCTTTGTGTTTGGCAATCGCCACGGAGTGACAACAAATACTGTTTCTTGAATAATATGAACACCCACATATTGTTTTTCCGCTTTTGAAACAGGTTACCTTGTATGGAATACTCTCTCCACTGTCCACAAAATAAACTCCATCTTGGAACCCTTCTCTGAATTTGTTGCTTTGAAGAAGCGCTTCAGCTTTGGTTTTTATCCCACTGACTTCTTCTTCACTAAAATGTCTAGTTAGAGGCTGAAGGATGTGTGGTTGGATGATTGATGTAGATTGATCTGGGCGTCCCTTCGCACATGAAATCCAAAGAGACGATACACAATTAAAAGAAATTGATGGGACATTTAATGATGATTAGACAGGGTGTGATTGTCTAATTTATTCTAGCCAAAGTCTAAAGTCCAGGTCACACTACACAACAATAACGATAACTTGTATACGCGTGCTGATTGGTCAAAATTTATCGTTATCGCCCGACTTAAAAAAAATCGCTCAGGTGAGCGATTTTAAAATCGTTATCGTCAAACAATAATTTTATCATTTCCGTTGTAGTGTAGACACTAACACGATTTTTTTTTGCCAATTATCTCCTATTTACAAGTTATCGTATCGTTATCGTTCTGTATTGTGACCGGGCCTTGAGGGTTAGTTTTTGAGGGAGCAAAACCAGAGAAAGATAAACTCTCGAAACACAAAAGAGAACTAGTCCGTTACAGGGAATAAACAATTTATTTATTTATTTATTTATTTATAAGATTCGCCAGACTATACAAACATATACATTTATAACATAATAAGTAAATACGCGACTGACCACAGAGATAAACTCTCAATTACTAGAAATTTATCCAATCTAGTACATGGCAGAAAAATCGAAATTGTTAAGCTTGTTTTTTGTAAAATCTTTCTACAAAGCAATTTTTGACGAAATTGTGTCATTACGGATAAACTAAAAATAACTATAGAGGTCAGGTTGCCATCCGCAAGCTGTCTTGAGTAAAGAGAAATAACTATAGAGGTCAGGTTGCCATCCGAAAGCTGTCTTGACTAAAGAGTTGTTTTTAAATACAATGATAAAGCTCTCCCCACAAATGTCTTGACTGTGTTCAAACAATATCAAACTTATAAAAGAACCACTGACCTGTTCTGATGCTTGAGGACTACTGAATTTGAAGGATTTGCAATTGTTATATGCAGTAGCATCTGGACGGATCTTTCTCATCTTGGTGATTTCTCCTTGCCTTTGATCTGGCGTCATATTACTGAAACCCTTGGGGCGAAGATGCTGGTACTCAGCTCTTACTTCCCACTTCTCAGATAACCCAAACCAGGCAAGTTCTTCCTCTTCGTCAAAACTTCCAATTAACTCGTACAGAGACATGATTAGCTTGTCCATGTCTTGTGCTGTGAAGTTCATCCAGTCCTTGATGAGGTCATTTGCACTTTCCACAACATTCTGAGTATACTGAGCGTCGCCAAGGCCAAGATTACTGACAACGAATCTACACAAAGTGCAACCGGCTTAATAAAGACACGTTATATGGAAAACACGACTGAACGATAAAAACTCGAAAGATAAATTTAATATTACCAATCGACTTCATTTTCTTGGGCAAGCTTTCTTTAGCTAGTATTTCGTTGGGGGATAATTTATTGACAAACGAAATAAAAAGTGAAATTTAAAACTTTGGGGTGACGAGTTGGCTGCGGCGAAGACTAAAAGCTTCGGTTGTACTTCACGACATCCACGTTCACAAAGACAAAAATATAATTCTCGACATTTCGAAAAAAGGCCCTTCGTCAGGAGAGTACTGGCTAGTTCGGTTAAAAATTACGGTATATGAATAAGAATTAGACTGTTTTAGTTTATACATGTTTTCTATCATACGAACCTGCACATCTTGCTCTTCATGTCTTGCTTCCTGTATCACAAGAAGTAAGATGGGAACTGTGGATCGCACTTTCGTTCATTGGATTCGAGTGCGTCCCACTTCTCCACCAGTTGCGTTGTCTGCTTCACAAATAATTCGCTTGACTGACACCACAATAGGCCATGCCGTCCAAACAGATCTAAACAGTTTGCAATTTGCTTGCATTTCTCTTGGACATTTTTCTTGCAATGAATATAACAAAGAAGATGAGCCGATGATGGAAATCCTGCCGCAAGGGCATTTGTGAGAGCGTCTTCACTGTCCGTTCCATATGCGTGTAAGAATTTCGATAGACCAGGGACTTCCCTCACCAACCGATGAACAAATGATAAGTATGTTTGTTGATCCTTTGTCATGCAGATCATCATCGGACCTACAAATGTTGGACTGTGTTCACTTCCTTTTACCTTTAAAAGTGTATCCTTGAATGTTGTGACAAGCAAATAAAAAGGCCCAAGCTGGAATATCAAATCTACGCCAAGCTCGGATACAAAACCTTTGTTTTTCGAACAGCAGAATCTAACTATATTGTCAATTTGCTGATCTGTGAATAGTATAAATGTTGGTAGGTTGTTGCAGGTAATTTCACGAACAAATCCAGGAAGAACAGACTTTTGCAATTCAATGACTGAAACTAGGGGATTTCTTGACTGCGCTGACTGTTCTTTATCTACACTCTTCTTTAAATAACGCATCTGCATGCCGTGTATTTCGTGGCAGGGATCCTTCACTTTCACATTTGGAAACACCACCAACGTCCTTAACTGTTTTGAACAGTGCTCGTTTTGGACCATTGCCTTGGAGATTATGAGATGACTTGATATTGTTGCTACATTTTGTGCGAACGTAGGGTTTCCCATCATTCTCATTACGATTACCATGTGATTTGACATCAAACTTCACCTCCTCACCATCATATCTATACTGCATGAAAACAATTGGGTGCCACTGGGAAATGTCTCTTCCAAATTCTACGGTTACTATTACCCTGTGGTACGATGGTAACGTCTTCTAACTGCAATATCACCTCTTTCTTCTTTGCTGACTCTTGTCAATCCTATCACTCTGTCGTCAGAATCTTTGGTTGTTACAAAGAACTTTGTTTTGCAGCCATTGTGTTTCCATTCCCCATTGTTATCACTCAGTATGTCTTCTCTTTCTACTAAGGTATCCATGTCAATGACTAGCAATGCATTTTGTTGTACTTCAAAGGGAATTGAAGTGCTTATTATATCTGTATTTTCTTGTTTGCAGTTCATCAGGAGTGGCACTATAAAATGATTTTCGGTGCTCCCTAATGATGTTAAAAAGCGGCACTATTTATTTTTTCGGTATATTTCAAATTCTGTTTTTTTCTTTAAAGGAGATGCATCTGTACTTAGGTATCCATCAAGCTAAAATATAAAGGACAAAAGTCATCTAGTGATCTACATAATTGAATACAATACAAGAAAGAAAGTAGACCATAATCTTGTCAATATGGTAATTTTACGCCTTAATTTGCTACGCAAGGAACATATGCCTACTTAATGCAGAAACAGAACAAAACTGGTCACCAACAAAACATTTTGTGTATATACCAATCCAAAAAGAAATCATGAGCAGGGTGTTGCAGTGGTATTTGACGCAGTATGTGTTCTGTACACGCAAATGCAAATTACCATTCAATCAAATTTAATTCAAAAAATGATCTTCAGCAGTAAGTGCATGATAAATGGGCCAAGTTTGCAGAATTTCTTCACGTGCAATATTGCAAAAGACTAAAAGATATAACATGTTTTTCTTTAAACAACGCATCTCCAGAATTTCTTATCACAGCTCATTGTCTGATTGTTCAAATTCCTTAAAGAAACTCCTAGTCGAGGAATTTTCTTTACACAATAACATGGAATTTAGAGACTGATGTAAATGCTATGAAGTATGATAGGTATTACATACCTCGTCATCTTGAAACTCATTCTCACTGTAACTGTCATTTCTACTAGGGCTCCTACCAAAACAGAATGATAATATTGTAACGGTAAGATTATCAACATACGTGTTATATATGATAATATTAATGATGAAAACATATTTGTATGAAAACTATCCAGTATTGATACATACTGGAAAAATTGTACCAATGTCATTGGTACACTGGCTTTTTGAATGAATTTTTTTGTATAAAAACTAAAGACTGGAAATTGTTATTTGACAGTACCATGTGTGTAGACAGGCATTCAGTGTATAATATACAACACATTATATTACATTCAAACACTCATTAATAACTCATAATTCATAAGCTTATTGGCAAATCATGTCAACCATAATATCACAGAATAAAGACATACAGAAGTGTAACTTCCATTACAAAACCGTAAGGCGCTTTTTTACCGAAAAAGCTGGCGGCCATGTTCTTAGCAAATAATATATTAGCAATATTAAATTTTTAATATGTTTTCAGGGGGGTGACTGCCTCTCTTTAGGGCACTTGCTAAGAACATGGCGGACTGAAAAAATCCCTTACGCGAAATTAACCTGAAGTGAGTTCTCTGTATGTACTTCCTCTGTGATAATATGTCACATGCAGTGGCTTTAAACCTGATAAAACACTGCTAATTAGTATTCTTTATATAAAGAATACTAATAAGGCAGTATATCTATTGAATTTGTAGTCGTGTTTGAAGCCGTTTAATGAACTTGCAGGTCGTGTTTTACTAGGTCTAAATAAAACACTCCTGCTCGTTTATTAAACAGCACATAAAGTTATTTTACACTTACAGGCTTTCAATTTCTTTATCAATGTCATACATTTCAGATGGTTCTTTTTCCTTTACGTACATTAAAATGATGTCATTATCGCTACTATACGGAGGTATAAACATTAAAAATATGAACAATTACGATGAAATATTATTGCTGCCGAGTGTCAGCAAGGTAGCACATTGATTCATGTCATGGTAAAGTTTACCCAGAGTGCACTCAGTCCAGTCTTCCGCACGACGTATGCATTGTCAAAATCTCGATCTTGTGTCTGTCTATTAAATAACCTTAGGTACTTTCTGCAAGTAAGCTTATAAGGGGGGAATTCAACAACATTTTGCATTTCACGAATTTTTCCTTCTGTGTTTCTGCTCACGATTTTGCAAGCCTTTTATGCTCGATTTTACAGATGGAAACAATCAAATGTTCAGAAGAATTTAGGTAAATACGGCTTAATTTGTTTGCTGATATACATGAAGGATTGAAGGAATTGAAGGAAATGAGCTTTGAACAATTAACCCAAATAATAACCCACTGGCGACTGATCTGACTGATCGATTGGTAACATTTATCATATAAATGTTTCTGTTCACTTTATTGGCTTGTGTTAACATGCATCAGGCGATGTGTTGTTGATTCTAGAATTAGCAATGTACACAAAATATTGTTTATATATATATATATATATATATATATATATATATATATATATATATATATATATATATATATATACTACAGAAAGGCAAAATTATGTCAAGAAAAGCTTAAGAATCCTAAACCAACCCATTGTGGAATATTTAGGCTGTCAAGTGACTATTTACATTTTACATCTCAATCATGCTAACAATGTCTTTCTTATTAACCCACTAAGCTGCAGAGCTTCCCCTTTGACGAGTAAAATCGTCTGGCGGCTCATTTGCATAGTTTGAGCACACTATCAGCGACGGTTTAAAACCTACTTATCAGCAAATATCGCTATAAGATCTAAATTTCGCACCTTCTATGCAAATAATCTAACGAAAGGTTTATCCATTGCTACAAATTGACGTATATAAAGGAAGGAAAGCGAAATTCTACCGGATCTTACCGCAATATTTGCCAATAAAGCGGTAATCGCTACAGAAAAATAGAACAAATTACAGAAGTACAAAACAAGTTGCAGAAGTGGGAAGGTTTTTGTATTTTGACTGTAAATCTTTTGTTATGGAATGTAACCATCAATGCTATTAAATTACATGTTTCCAACATATGTCTTGCAGATCAGGACTTATTCTCAGTTGTTATGAGAGCAGATACTGACATGCTGGTTTTGACCCAAATTTAGGGATTCTGCTTGTTCGCAGGAGATGATTGACAGAAACGGAGGCAGGGAAATTAGAACACGTGAGAGAATAAGAACAACAAAAGTGTATGCGAGAGTGTAGTTGAAACTTTGTACTTGGGACATGCAGAGGGGTAGGGGTACCATCAATTTCGTCCGTGGAGTGATGTAGATGTTTCCAAGAATGATCCAATTTGTATATTTGCAAACCCTATGTGAGATCCACATGTATTTCTTCTTGCAAATTATATTATTATCCATGGCTGCCTAAGGTCTGCAGCTATATGGATGATCCTATTCCTTGACAGTTCTGCAGTAAAGAATAATTTTCTATTGACATAGTTTAAAATGTTGGCATGAAGCACCATATATAAAGTTAATACATACATTTCTAAAATTCATGAATAACTCATGAGCTAATTAGCCAATGAATTTCTTAAAATCTCGTCACATGATGACCCCTATATACCGTGATATAGGTCGGTGTGTGCTGATTTAAAATTCATATGTAGACCACATGTACCTTTATGATAAAGGTACATGTACCTTTATAAAGCATTCTTTAACAAAATGTTTATTGATCTGTTCCTAATAAAAACTCAAATATTCGAGAAATCAATAAATACTTTATTTTCCAAAATTAAAATTAATGTTACAATTGTTAAACACGGGATTAACAACCCTTTCATTTTGATTACATACCACTTTAAACTGTTTAAACCCAACAAACTTGCTCAACTAAAATTCTAAAGACGCTTCATTCATCTCCGCTAGCGATGTAGTTAATGTCTGGATTGGGCCAATATCATCAGTTTCATGACCAGCGTCGTCGATCTTCACTTCTTTAACCTTCTAGCAGCTATCCAGGAATCAAAAATCTTCAATGCTCACTTTGTCACGTATCTTGTACTTGGCGGCATCGCTCTTTCGAGCAACGTTTGCTCCTCTTCAGCACTTCGAGCGCTTCGAAACCGACTCATTAACAAAACAAGTCAAATATGTTCAAATTTCCATTTGAAAAATCCGTTTAACGACTTGTATGACTTGACAATTAATCTAGTCATTAATTTGCTTGCTGATCAATGAAGGGAAGAATCGTAAAACAATAGAACTATTGTAGTTAGCATTTCTTATTATTTCATTGGGACCCAAAACAAAAGGTGAATTTTAGAAGTCATTTATAAACCTCGTGATTGGGCTTTATCGGTGCCTATAGCCGCTCGCCTTCGGCTCGCGTCTATATGCACCGATAAAGCCCTCTCACTCGGTTTATAAATAGTACATATAACCTGTGGTCACATATAGTTATAATTATTGCAATGTTGCAATCTTAATATATTGACAATAAAAAATCAGACATACAGATTATAGTGTGTTTTTTCCAATTTGAATGAATGAAAACTTCTATTTTGGGACCGGTCATTATATATGGTAGGGAGGAGAGAAAAAATAAGGGGGGGGGCATATGTATAAATGACTAGAAGGAGGGGGGGGGGCTATTACATTTTTTAAAGAAAATGAGGGGGTTGCAATCAAATTTGAAGATAACTTTTCCCTACCCACCCACCTATGTTTATTCTAGAGGATTTTATCTTTTAGTATGTCACTTTTATATTTTATATAATTTTTAATTTCACATAAAATAGGATGTATAGACCACTATACATTGTATTTCGTTACCACTGACTTGTCAGTGTGACTTGTGCTGGATCGAGGTATGCCTTGGTAGAATCTCCAAAATTGTCATGGCTATCTCCTTTATATTACTGATTGTTACTCTCGTTGCTGCGGAGCTGCTATGGCAATACTTTGTGCCATCAAATCTAGTAGTACAGCCTTGGACCACAAAAGGCAACTGCCTCCAAACACTAATATTAATTCTCTGCTGTTAAACATGGTTACAATGGAAACCTGATTTTAGAGTAATATATGAAAATACCCCTCTTTTAATTATAATTTTCTGCTAATATATATTTTTGGTCGACGTTAATATCTTGTCAGTTCCATATTCTTATTTAATAATTAACACTATAACTCCTGGGTATCCCTAGTGGACGAGTATATGAAAATGGGGGAGGGGGTGTCAAAGAAAAATATTATAATATATAGGGGGGTCATCATTAAATTTCTGCTCTTTAAAGGGGGAGCTTTCAATTTTAAAAATTTAGGAAAGAAAAAATTCCCCTCCCCCCTTCCATAAATAATGACCGGTCCCTTAAACAGGGTAATTATCTTGTCAAAATGATCATAATTGACATTCATTGGATATTTGTTGGCAATTAAGTAATTTTTATATGGCTATCTAAAGCCCACCCTTTTCCCCCAGCCATGCACCTTGTCTCCCCGGGGTGGGGGTTTGCAGTGAGAAGTAATACATGGGTCACTACCACTCACTACATGCATGTGGTCAATTAGTAAAGTGGTTTGTTTTCAATCCATCTAATGTCTGTGCAATCCTAATCAAGAAGTAAACAAATAACGATAAGAAGGCTGTTTTGGTCTGTTTCGATCTGCTGTAAATGAGTTAAAACCAATACATATACGTGAACTTTCACAACACAATATAAAAAAAGACTGACAGTAACACTAATCTCTCCATGGCAAAACTTTAGCCAGTCCAAACTCAACTAGGAAGTGCAGTATTAAACACATATATTCACACATAGAAAGGTTCGCTGTCGTTTTACTTTAGTTCAAACTAAGGGGCTGTTTATATGAGGCGAGCCAGCTCGGGTACCCGAGCTACAATCTTGGACATAACTGGTTGAGACTATTTTCCCCCTATAGAAAATTCGCGTATTTTTATGATAAACTCCATGTTGAATCATGTTGCCATTCTTAAACCCCCGCTCCTCCAACTCAATGTTGAGCTTGTATCATGGTATATTACCAAAAGTTGTTTCGGCGTTGTTCACAACATTGAACTGGGGGGGGAGGGGGAGACAAAGTTTGCTTTGTCAATGTTCAATAACTTTGTAATATTAGCTGGAATGGTCTCAGGGGTTTTGTCCAAGATTGTCTGAAACACACTGAATTTAATTGTGCCTGATAACTCAATCTTTTTTAATTTTCTTCCACTCGAGTAGTCTGAAAGATGGATATACACGTTACTTCTTGTTTTTCGAGCAATATATATATTTGTTTGCATAAAAAGCGAGCAATATAATGCCTATTTGAACTTGTCACATCCTAAAATATACGCATGAAACGCATTAATTTTTCTTGTTGTTTCATCTAAAATATATAGTTTTCTACAGCCAGAAGCGAGTAATATCATGTTACTAGGGCATAGAGGTCGAGACACATGCAATGGGATTTAATTCAATCATGTAAATATCACGTTCAAGTGTTGCTGAATATAGGTATTTTATATAAGATGACGTTATTTATAGTTTATCAGCCTCAAACTTGCTTTTGAAACTTATAATTTAAGCCGAATTTTTTTATATTACGGTTAACCAAGTATAATCTTTATCGTGGTTTGATAAAAGAACGGTAAACAGGACAATAGAACGGTAAACGGCGACTCCAATTTAAAACAATGACTAGACCTATCATTTACTATAAAATCTTGCTGCTATCCCCGTTTACCGTTGATATCACATCAAATCTTTTCGTTAATCGTTTGAAATGTTCTTATATATTATTATAAAAGGTTTATGCTCCAAAAGTCATGGCGATATACTCGCATTTCTTTACTATGGTCAATTTGAACATTGTACAGGCGACTCTTTGTTCCTCGTGGGGGGTCGCCAC